CCGCCGCCCTGCTGACTCATCTGAGCATGCCGTCCGCAGCTGCCCACTCAAGCCCTGTCCCCTCCCTGGCCACCCTCTGCGCTGGCTCCTGCCGGCCCTGTGCTGCCACGACTGCCTACTTCACACCCTCAGCGCCCCTGTCGCCTGTGGCTGCGAGGCCCTCCCTGGTGGCCCACTGATCCCAGCTGCCGCCGAGGTCCCCGACTCCTGCAGCTGTGCGCCAGCCGCAGCCTCAGACTCCCTAACTCTTGCTCAAACCCTGCAGCCCCTCCCAGTGTCCCACCCCCAGGAAGCTCTCCCACCACCCGTGGGCCGGGCCTTCCCTTGTGTCCCCGCGCTACCTCCCACACCACACTGACCGCACGTACCGCGAGTGTCGGCTTTGTGCCCGACACCCTGAGGGCAGGGTCCGCGTGTGCTTTGCCCCCAAGCTCCCGCGGCCGCCGGACCTGGCACAGAGTCAACACCCAATAAACGTGTGTTGACTGCATGAACGAAAGGCCACCCAGCCCAGTGCTCTTGCCTCTGTGTGGAGCTGTTAGGGACACAGCACCACTGGGGCAGAGTCCCAGGCTCCAGGAGCTGGCTCTGAGAGCCTGGTGTGGGGCTCAGTGTCCTCGTGCAGTGGACACATGTACCCACCCCTGGCACCTTCTGACTGGCAGAGGGGGCTCAGGCACCCCAACTGGGAGAATGAAACCCTCCAGAGGGGCGAGGTGGAGGAGGCTGTCCCTTCCTCCCCAGCCGGGACCGAGGGCCATAAGCCCAGGCAGCCCCTTCCTCAGGGCTGGTCCTCCGGCTTTCGCCTTGGGCAAAGACAAACGGCCTTCCTGCTGCCTTCCAGATCCTCAGGGCCACGCCAGAGCCCCCGGGCCCACCAGGCATCCCCATCCTCTGATTGCTGGAGCCCTGCCCATCCCGAGAACAGCAGGCCCAATTCCCACACGGGTGCTGTCTTCTCTCCCTGTTTGGCCCCCATGCCGCCAGCTGCCCTCCTGGACCCCCTCTCTCCCTCTGCAACCCTTCTCTGAACCTCACCCAACCCCTGACCCATGCCCTCGGCCTCCTGCCACAGCGGGGTCTGGCTGCCACGAGCCTCGGAACCTCAGCACTGCTGGGGCGCAGCCAGACATTCCCCGAGGGTCAGCCCCTTCCAGGGCTCAGCAGAACACGTGCTCCCCAGCTTGGCAAATGCCCAGCCACAGGAGCCTGAGTCTTCGGGTCACTGATCTATGACCCTTCTGGGGTCTGCACCATCTCGCAGGTGCTGACCTCAGGTTCTGGCCACGGGAAGGCCACTGTGCAGTCAGGGTGCTGCGGACCTGGCTCTCCTCGGCACCCCAACTCGGGCGCTGGAGGAAAGATAATGAGCAGCAGGGCCTGGATCCCCACCTGGCCTCCCAAACCGGCCATCCATCGCCCCAGGCTTCGCACGGTCTTCAGCATCTTTACAGCTGGCTCCCAGCAAACCCGCAGTGCCCCAAGGAGCCGCGCGGCGGCGCCCGGGAGCAGAGCGCTCATCCACTGTGGAGCAGGCAGAGAGGGCGGGGCTTTCAGCACCCCCTGGGGACCGTGCCAGCCTCCTGTGGGCGAGGCTGGGGACAGGTTGCTAGCCCTGCGGGGGGGCACCGCGGAGCGGCGCCCCTCCCCTTGCCAGCCTCCTGTGGGCGAGGCTGGGGACAGGTTGCTAGCCCTGCGGGGGACCACCGAGGAGCGGCGAGCCCCTCCCTTCTCCCTTTGCATTATGGGCAGCAGTGGCCTGGGCCGAGCAGGTTGCTCACTGCACACCTGGCCACAGGCCGAAGCTCCCGAGTGCAGCCCTGGGTAGGTGCTGCCTGGAACCCCTTGGCCTTGCTCTTGGAGCAGGGGCTGTGGCTGGTGGCCCGGCTGGGCTTCACCAGACAGCGTGGTGGCAGAGGCCTCTGCCAAGCCATAGCCTCTGGCCTGGCCCAGAGGGGCTGGTAAGAAGCAAGCAGCTCCCTTTGGGTGGCCAAGGGGTTCCAGGGTAGTGCTGGGCAGGCACACAAGGCCCAGCTCCCCTCCTCACCCCTTGGATCAGCTCCCCTGCTGGTTCTGGCTTGGGGGTGCAGAGGGGATGACAGCAACTGTGGCCAGCCCCTCAATCCCTACTCTAACAGTGGGGGCCTGGGACCAGGACAGGGCCTCTGAGCAGAGACACTGCTGGGAGGGAATGGGGGGGGTGTCGGTGGCCCTGGTTTGTCTGCAGAGTGCCCGCTGGTGGCAGCCTAGGGTCAGCTGCCCTGGAGCTTGGGGTCCCTGTGCAAGGCCCCAGGGAGGGTCCTGCCCTGACCAGGGCAGAGGGGACCGCCTGAGCCTGAGTCAGGGAGGTCTCCTCACCAGCATGGCACAGATGGAAGAGGCTGCCCCAGGGACCCAGGACTCACCCACAGCAGTCCCCAGGGATCCCGAGTAGTTGGCCAGGCTGCCCAGGCTTCTTTGCTGACCAGGAGCCTGGGGGCCAGGAGGGCTGCCCAAGGTCACCCAGGTGGGGTCAGCTTGGGGTGCCTGGGCTGAGCCGGGGCCCCGGCTGTGGGAGGTCGTTTCCCAGGGCTGTGCAGGGGTGTGTGTGTGTGTGTGTGTGTGTGAACCTGTGTGGATGTCATGTATGTGACTCGTGTGTGAGTCTATGTGTGTCACGTGTTTGTCTGTCTGAGCCACCACTGCCTGTCTATGTTCCTGCAGGCTCAGGGTGACGGTGAGACCTGAGCCCGCTATGTACCCACAGCAGTAGGGGGCTTGGCAGGCACTGCCAAGGGCCAGGCCCCCAGAGCAGCATCCAACCCCCCACACCCCATGCCAGCCACCTAAGGCCACATGTCTGAGGCTGTGATGCCGTCCCATGTGACATCCATGTCCTTCAAGCCGTGGCCACCATGGGAGATGAGGCTCTGTACTTGCTGCTGCCTCCACTGTGCTGCAGGGGCCCTGAGAAGAGGCACTGGGTGCCTGGGCAGGAGAGGGCACAACAGATGGGGCTTCACCCTTCCCGGCCCACCTGGGCACCCCTTCCCATCACTGACCCTCAGGGGTCCCAACCCTGCCCTGCCCAGAGATCTCACCTCCCGGGGACCTAGCTCTTCCCCCACCTGTGCCACCTCCCAGGGGTCCTCTCTGGCCCCTGCCTTCCCCTCCCCACCCCAGTCCCCTCACAAGGCCAGGCTGTGTGCCCACCCAGGCCTTGCTGAAGTTGGTATCAGACACCATGAGCCGCGGGGCTGACAGCACAGGAACAGAGCAGGACAGCTTGTGGCACCAGGGCCATGCAGGTGTGTGCACACATCACACGCACAGGCTCAGCCAGGAGCACACGTCACATGTTATCACATACGTTCTTGCACTCACACCCCACAGGTAGCCCCTGCCATGCACCTGTGAGCACGCGCTCACACCCATGCCCTGCACACCCACACACACAGTGAGCCTGTTCCCTCTGCTGAGAACTCAGGAGCAGGGAGTAGAGCTCCTTTTCCTGTCACATGTTCCCACGATAAGGACAACAGGAAGCCCTTGGGGCCAGGGACAGGAAGAGGAAGCTAGCACTGGCCGGTCCCTTGGGGGGACATGGGGCAGACAGACACTGAAGGGTGGGATGTGGCACGCCCATGTTGCTCTGGGCCCTGGTGTGCACATTGTCACGGCTCATTCTTAATGAGAAACTAGGGCTGGGCTGGCTGGTCCTCGTCACCCAGCAGGGCTGGTGCAAACGGCCTCTGTCCCAGGTCCCCCTCGCCGGCTCCTTCCTGCCCTGCTCCTGCACCACCAGGCAGCATCAACTGCAGCGCCAGTCCCTCCCTGCAGCCCATGCTGGGGACACCACTGTCCCCGGGGGGACTGTGACGGCCCCCGACCCTTGGCCTCTCTGTTCCATGCCAGGCTCCTCTGCTGAATCAGCCCCTCCAGGGAGCCCCAAGCAGGACCGCGAGGAACAGACCCGAGACGGGGCTCACAGGCTCTGCCCAGGCTGGCGCCAGAGATGGTGCGGCCTGGGGACAGGGACTCTGGATTAGAACCCAGCAGGTGCTCATGAATGCTCCCCAGAGGTGGAAACAGTGACCAGGGGACCACAACGTCCACAGCCACACTGAGTTAGGCCAAGCCTAGGAGACATTGGACCCCAGCCCACACTTATCTGCTCCCTCACACACCAAGGAAGAGCAGCCTCCCTGTCCTGGTCCCACTCTCTGGGGAGACCGCTACCACTGCTCTGTCAGTTAAGCTTCAAGGAGGCCATGGCCCCGCCCCTCAAGACTCCTCCCACCTCTCTGATGAGACCCCGCCCACCTCACAGGTGAGGCTCCTCCCTCTGGGCTGGTGGGGGCGCTGGAGGCAGCTGGCTCTCTTCCTTGAGACTGGCTTCTGTCACCGAGGAGGGATCTCTGAGTGCCTCTGAGGATAAGGAGGAAGCAGGGGGTGTACAAGTGCAGAGGTGGGGCCGAGAATTCGACAGCCCCAGGGCCGCTCTGGCTTGGCTTGGCTTTTTTCTTTTTTCACTGAAAATAAAAACCTCAGGCGCTGGGGATTTAGCTCAGTGGTTCCACCACCTGCTTCTAAAGCACAAGGACTTTAGTTTGATCCCTAGTACCAAAACAAAAACAAAACTCAGTTTGGAGGGACCCAGGATGACCAACTGTCCTGGTTTGCCCTGGACCAGAGGGGTTCCCCGGATGCATGCAGGCAAATTCTGGGGAAACAGTCCCCAAAGCCATCAAACTCCATCTGTGTCCTCAACCATAGCTCCTCCACCTTGCAGCAAGGAAACTCGGACCCCAGCTCTTCCAGGAAGCCCCCAGATTTCTCAGAGAGCTCACCAGAAGCTGCCTCTCTCCCTGGTGTTGAAGCCACCTTTCTTCCTCTGCTCTGCCGCAGGCCTGGGCAGACCTCACCTTGAGCTGATGGCGCCTTGGGACTTGGACCCTTTGGGGCCCTGGAGTGAGGCTGGGCTGGCGCTCAACCGGCACACAAGTGCATTCTAAGTGCCTGCAGGGTGCGTCATCTTAGCCAGTGTTCCCCAGCAGCCCCAGTGCCAGGCTCAAAGTCTCTGGCTGCCTGAAGGTCCTTGCTCACCCTAGCTCACCCCTGACACCACGGAGCCCCCGCAGGTGTGCAGGACCGGAAGGTGCGCAGGACTGTCGCCAAAACCCCCAGGCAGGGCCCGCCTTCCTGTGCCTTGGAGACAGACAGCCTGGCTCCGTGTCCCCACCACACCCCTGGGGCCGGCTCCTGGGTGGTCACTGAACCCTGAGGAGACGCCAACAGACGCCGACTGATGTCCCAATGACCAGAGGAACGAGAAGTGGCACTCAGCATGGCGTCACCCCATCAACCCCCCCGCCCCAGTGCCCAGACGTGTCCCAGCTCAGGGGTGGAGCAGTCTCAGGAAGCAGCATTCCAGGACCCCGGGGCTGGGGTCCTGGGGACCAAGCACCCAGGGGTGCACTGGCTTCTCAGGCCACATTCCACACAGCCTAGGAGAGGCCCAGCAGGGAGGGCAGTCCCAGATTATCCACCAATCACCCGGGCTGTTGGCACAGGAACCTCTCTTATCTGCCCAGCCCAGGCAGGGGT